CACCCCCGTCAGGCACAGCTTGGCGCGGGCGGTGGCGCGGGCGGTTAAGCGGCAGGTAGCAGGGGCACAGAATAGCATTGATGAGGAGCATGTTTTAGCTTTAATTCTAAAGGAAGATGAGTTAGATGAACAGAAATGCAAAAATGCTCTAGAAAAATACTGTAATGAACTAAAGGAAGTAGATCTAGACCTATCTAAAGTACATTTAATGTTAAAAGATGTATGTGAAAAAAAAAATGAAAAATGCAATGGCTTGAAAGACAAGGTTAATAAGAAATGTACTACACTTAAAACAGAATTAACAAAAATAATTGGAAAGTCATTTCCAGAAGATAATGACTGCACAAATCAAAATACATGTATGTTTTTGGAGGGAGCATGCCCAACAGATCTTAAAGAAAGCTGTGATAAATTAAGAGAAAATTGCAGAAAAAAGAGACGAAATGATGCGAAAGTAGATCTTCTTTTGAGAATACTCAGAGGGAATTTGAAAGATCAAGAATTGTGCAAAAAAAATATTGATAAGACATGTCTTGAAGTAATGGAAGAAAGCGATGAACTTATGTCATTTTGTTTAAAAACACCAGATAAATGTAAAGAACTCACGGAGAAAATAAATAAAAAGTGTGAAGATTTGAAAAAGAATACAAAAAAGATTATCGACAATAAAGATAGATCAAAAGAAGAGTGTAACTTGGAACTTGAAAAATGCTACTTTTACGGAACAGACTGTGATGAAAAAGTTAAAGCACAATGTAAAGAAATAGAAAAAAAATGTGAAGAAAAAACAAAATATATGCCAGTAGGGCTCATATTTGACCCATTGAAACCAGCAGCTACGTTAATGGAGGCTATTGGAAAAACAGAATTGTTTAAAAAAGACATTGGAAAACCAAATATAAAAGATACAATTGATTTATTAACATTATTAGCAAATGAAAATCTAGGCCAATGTAAAGATAAGCTTAAAGAATGCTATGAATTTTGTAAATTTATTCCACAATTAAAGGATTTGTACAATAACAGTACGAAGGAAATGGATCAGACTAAAGAAGATATATGCAATGAACTACAAGATAAAATGAAACCTAAATGTAAAACACTTAAATCAAAATTATATAGGTTGTCATTGTCAGATAAAAATGGGGATAGCGAAGAGGCCACACAATTAGGATGGGACCAGTTGACAACAGAAATTGATGAAGATGTTTGTGTAGAACTGGAGTCGAAATGTTTTTATTTGGAAAAACCTTGTGGAACAGCGGGTATTAAACTTGGAAATGCATGCAAAAATCTAAAATCAGCATGTTTAAAAGCACGGAAATTCAGAAAAGTGTATGGAATACTTGAAGAAAAATTAAGAGGAAAGTTGCATAATTTAATCATAAATAATGGCAGTAAAAAATGCGAAAACGAACTGTTGATTCTATGCAAGAAACTAGTGAAAACAGAAGAGGTACTAATAGAGTTGTGTTTACGGCCAAAAAGCACATGCATAACACTTGAAGATGATATTAGAAGACAAGGAGAAGACTTGATAGAAGCTTTGAATGAAAGACGAGATTTTCCAAATAATGAGGATTGTAAAGAATTAGAAAAGAAGTGTGAAGATCTAGGACAGGATTTGGAAGAAATTGAGCGTCCATGTCATACATTGAACCAACACTGTAATCGATTGAGAAATGCAGAACATTTGGAAGAAAAATTATTAGAAGGAAAAATAAAAGACTTAAAAAATGAAGCAAAATGTAGAGAAAATGTTAAGAAGCGATGTGATGACTGGGTTATGAAAAGAAAAACTGAATTTACTCTTGCATGCATCGAGCAAAATATTACTTGTCAGATCATTACGGAAAATATAGAAACTAAATGTTTTCTATTGAAAAAACATATGGAAACTCGTGATGTTATAAATCAGCTGAAACAAAGAAATAAAATAGAAGAAATTTGTAGTTTCTGGGTTCCATATTGTGACAAATTCACTCCAAGTTGCAATGAACTTGTGAAAAAAGTTAACGGAAAAAACAATGGAGTTTGTTCACAACTCGGCAAAAAATGCAAGCCATTCGTTGAAAGAAAAGAACTAGAAAATAAAGTAATTGATGAGTTAAAAGGCAATTTATCGGACATAAAAGAATGTAACAAAACACTTAGCATATACTGTACACAATGGATAAAAGCAGAGAATAAACTTAAAACTTTATGTACTGATAGTACTAATGCCAAAAAAGACTTGGAAGTTAGGGAAGAGCTCTGTGAAAAACTTGTAGATTGGGTGAAAAAACAATGTCCAAAACTGTTGAATGAAATCATTGAAATAAAAGATAAACTAGAAAAAGGAGAAAAAGAATATGAAAAAATTAAAAAAGAAGCAGAAGAAGCTATAAAAACAGCAGATCTTATTTTATCAAAGGTAAAAGCATTTGATAATGGCAACAAGTCTCTAGATAAAGATTCACCTAATACACCTAATGAAGGAAAAGGCACAACAGAGTTTAAACTTGTAAGAAGGAATACAAAAGCGCATGTAACAGAAAAAGAATTAGCAGCATTTGATTTGGTAGCAAGAGCATTCAATCTCTATGTAGAGTTGAAAGAAATATGTCATCATTCACAAAGAAATTGTGGATTTGAAAAAGAATGTCCAGATTGTAAGGATGCATGTAAAATTGTGAACCGTGTATGTACAGGATTGAAGCCACTGGAAGTGAAACCATACGAAGCAACAACTAAAAATGTAACAACCACAACTACAACTACCACCACCACCACCACAACCGTTACAGATCCAAAAGCAACAGAATGTAAATCTCTACAGACGACAGACACATGGGTCACAAAGACATCGACCCATACTAGCACATCCACAACCACATCTACAGTCACGTCAAGAATAACGTTGACCTCGACGAGGCGGTGTAAGCCTACGAAGTGTACGACAGGAGAGGGGGATGAAGCAGGAGAGGTGAAGCCGAGTGAAGGGTTGAGGATGAGTGGGTGGAGTGTGATGAGGGGGGTGTTACTAGCAATGATGATTTCATTCATGATTTAAAAGGCAAATGGGAATGGGATATAAGAGCAGCATGTATATTTACTAGATGAATGAGGATAGGGCAGGAAAGAGTAGAGTATGATCTCTT